TTTAAACTCGCTGATTTGTGTACACTCAAAAATGTCTTCAAGTTAAAACTGAAAATAATTTCATTTATAATTTTGCTATTTGATAAGCTACATGTAAATCGCTATGAATATAATATCTAATCTATAGGTATCGGTTACTGTTATTTTTGTTATTATCGTTTATTGTTTATTGTTTTTTTTTTGTGTGTGAAATCGCTGGCTTTTTGTCCAAGTATATGTCTACATGTATATTTGATTACAAATTCGCTTCCATTCATGTCTTACAAAGAGAGAATCTCCAGAACTCTGTTTACAAAAGCACCCAAAACAGTCAAAAATACCTTTCAACCACACTATATTTTCCCAACCCAAACCTCTCCCCATATCAAAGAAAGAGATATACACAATCATGTATATTACGTACTTACAGTATCCTATTGTAAAGTGTACTAGAGAACTCAATTCACCTGTGTGACTTTTGTAAATAGACAATATGACAGCTAGTGTCACTCTATTATCAGTGTTATCTATCTCTACATTTCTTACCTTTAGAGTCTCGTGACATATTTGAAAGTTATCGACTTTCGAGCACTTTATAGAACAAAACGCATCTGTATATCGTTCGATGCTTGATAGAAGTCGATCCAATTATTGATAAACCTTTTAACGGTATTAATTTTTAAAGAAAACATACGAGGTTTGTTTGAGTATGACACATATTGGCAGAGTTGAAAATTGACTTTGTTGAAACCGGTTGAGATTAAAACCTGGTTGCAATAGCATCTGAGATGAAATAAGATTAGAAAGAAATGTTGTTAAAGATCTTTTTTAATTTTCACAAAATGACATAGAAATTGTGGCAAAAAATCGAAGGTTCAAAATCCAACTTGTTTCAATAGGATGGATTATTACCAACTATGAATTACAACGACTTAGTTTTCATGCAGAAAAGAAGAGAAAAAAAACGGAATCAAGTTTGGCCTGTGCAGTCTCTGCTCTTTTTTGATTGACAGAAAGAAAATGTCTTTCTTGTCTTGAAAAAGCTGAATATCTCTACTGAGCGTCCCATTTAAATTAAGTTTTACTAGTTATTGATAAAATCAGTCAGACTACAAAACATGACAATCATGTCCTTGATTTCACAGTAACAAAATATTCCGGGGGAATAATATTTTTACGACAATTGCAAAGCGGTCATGTGGTTTCTGTCACCAGATGACATATAGACCCGATGCTGTCCGAAGAGGCGTATAAATTGCTACAATTTAAAATCTTGTTTCGTATTTAATCGATTCAATTTTAGTAATTTGTTTTATAAAGTTTCTCTTGTCAAATTAGGTATGCAGTTCCAAAGACCAATATGGCAGTTGGACGAACACAGACCGTCAATAAAATGTAATAGAAAAAAAGGATTATTATGGTCTGGATTTGAGTTGTATTTATTTGCCCTACAATGACAATTTGTATGCTGTTTTCTGTTTGATGAATTCAGGGAGATGTAATTTATTTTGAACAGAAAAAAAATTATTTCATTAGAATAACCATCGGAAATGGCCGTAAAAACGGCAAATATTCATTCTGGTTAATGTCATAATGTCAAGTCTGAAATAGAATTAAATAGATAGCCAAGAAATGTCACAGGCATGTCCATGGTGTAGAGCTACAAATACAGAATATCCGGAAATCAAACCGATCCCGTTATTATATTTACGTAGCCCGTTGAGATATTAGCTAAATGTTGGTGAGTTAGGAACTCATTATACAGGATTTAATAGAATAGATTCAATGTAAAACCCACACAAAGATCTTAGACAATAAACATCTTATATCTTATCTCTTTCTTTCATTTCCAATACAGCTTTACCTTTTTAATGACTGATCAGTTTTGTGATGGTGATACGATCTCTTTAGTAATGCTGGTAACCTAGTAAATTCTATATACAACAAATGTCAAAAGTCTTATAAGTTTGAAAAGATAGATAAATATTTCTTTTATTACTTTCCATATAACATGTATATGACAGAATTCTGTTCTTCTTAAAAGGTTACCATGGAACCATTTGACGACATCAGAATTTATAAGAACCATGTGTAAGGTTCTGATATAAGGTGTATGATGTGATAATATGATTTTCACAAACATTTAGAAATAAAACTTTCAAACAGTGTAAGCGAACGTTTTCATTTCAAGTTAAAACCCTACTTTTGGGATAAACCACTGCAGTGTTTGTTCAGGTAGAAAAAAAAAACGTGTCATCAACTGTAGCCATGAACATGAAAACATCGATATAACCAACCATAAATTATTCTAGATCTCGAAGTTTTTTGGTAGTTACTTTAACTTCGAAACATCGGAGATTGATTTATACATGTATAGACATTGTGTGAATCATTCCATATCAGACTAAACTGGCGACCGACAATGTCTCTCTATCCGATATATATAATGTATATTTCTAAACAGTCTCATTGAAAGACAGACAATGTCTTTAAATCCGATATATATAATGAAGATTTGTAAAGACAGACAATGTCTTTAAATCCGATATATATAATGAAGATTTGTAAAGACAGACAATGTCTTTCAATCCGATATATATAATGAAGATTTGTAAAGACAGACAATGTCTCTGTATCCGATATATATAAGGAAAAGTTGTAAACAGTCTCATTGAATAAAAACATGCTAATGATGATAAATTGAATTTACAAAACGTTCTCCATCAGAGTAATCAATGATGTGATCATTGCTTGTTGGCAAGCCTGTCGGTTTCGTTGTTATATACAAAGTTAATTTTCATTTGAGAACAACAAGGCATAGTTTATATTTGAATTGACCACGGTTAGCTGATGTAATCGATACAGTAGAAGAACGAAAATGAAGAGACTTTCTGAAGTCACTGAGGAGCAAATGAGTGAAAATACTATCAAATGTCTCTTCTTCAGGAGTAAATATATTTATATCGACCAATGAAAGATGGCATTATCAGTCGTTTTACACTGTTACCAAATACATAAATAGTAGTAGTTGTAGTGTGAGTATATACTTTTTATACATGTTTATGTAGTTAGGAGGAATTACATGTAATTTGTTGTATATTGCAATGATCTCTCAAGTTCCTCGTGTAGATAATCTATTAGAAATAACATGACAAAAACAAATGTGCATTTCCATAAAAGTGATTCCTAAAAATGTGTCATTCTGCAGTACAACACTTGAAATAATATTCCTTACTAACTAGATCCACAAATACAACCCTAAACGTTGAAAACGAAGGTACAGTTAGACATACGTGTTGTGGGGAGACGTCACCGTTGTTTATTCCGTGATATTTTTATTTCTGTTTACTGGTGGTGACCTTAAGGTTTTGTGGGCCAATGACATCCATCGTGTTGTTATAGAGCCTAGCAAAGTATCGACTATTTTATATATCTGTAAGAGGTAAAAGGGGAGACAACCCATACTTGTACATGTGTCTTATCAATCAGCAACACGTTAATGTCAAAAGTAAGTTGCCAACTTGAATCACCGTCTTCGAACATTCAACGTCAAAAAGCATATCAAATGCATCATATTAACAAGGAAAAGCTGATGACGCTTCTGAAATAAATACATTGCAATTATATGATGTTTACTGATTTAAACACGTTGAGTTGTGTACACTCAAAAATGTCTTCAAGTTAAAACTGAAAATGATTTTATTTATATTTTTGCTATTTAATAAGCTACGTGTAAATCGTTATGAACATAATGACGTCTATCCTATAGGTATCGGTTACTGTTAAAAACGATGTTTGTTTTGCTTTGTTATTTCATTTTTTTGTTTGTTTGTTTGTTTGTTTATTTTTTTGTTTGTGACACCGCTAGCTTTTTGTCCGAGTATATGTTTTGGACTTGTATTCGATTTTGTTCAATTTCTCATCGTCAAATTCACCATGTTTATTTTACTGTGTTTCCAAATTGATCTATCTACGAGGGGTCCTAACAACGAAATGTTCTATTACTTTTATAACAATTCAGTAGAAAATCGGTACTCGTATAGATTCCAAGTAAGACAAGCGTCAGTCTAAAGGTGTACATTTATTCACCTATCTTATGTTGGTTGGTTGGCAGGTTTTTTGCGTCTCCTTGCCTCCTGTGTTCCTGTATGTTAAGTGTCTATGTCAATATTTTATGATACTCAAAATAGAGTAAAAACAGAGTATCCATCTTGTGAGTGATCATACTTTGCGTACTGGCGATAAAATCATTTCCATCAATGCGTTGTGTTGCTATTTACCTGAGAATATATTACTTCTTTATCAATTACAGGTGATGTAAATATTCCAAACGGTCCAATGGATCAAATTTAGTCACTTAAAAAGTAACAACAGTGAGATAATGCAACACGTTTTATCTAAAGTAAAGCGGCATTTAAACAAACAATATTAATCAAGTATGGATGAAAAAGTAGACCGTACGTCCTTCTTTGAAACAATCAAGTTGTCAATCATAATAAATCATATTTTGATTGCATTTATACAAAAACTAATGTGTAATTACCACCATGTGATCGTTTTAAAATCTATTTTTAAAACTGCCTGTAACTGGATATGCTGAGGATGCTAATGGTGATAATAGGCACAGAGGGCCTATTCGTTATGGAGTTATTCCTTAATCTATATTGGTTACATACACGAAAGAAACATCATAACTTTCCAAATAAAACAGACCGAAGTTTTGTTTGCGAAGATCATACAATTTTCTTTACTATTCTTAAAACGAAACAATACCGAATATAATATAGTTATAATAATCTATCGAATATGATGTCTTTCTCAGTGAACCAGCCTTTGTGTTACCAGTCCGTAACGGAGCCCAATATCATGAAGATAAAACACTGACGACAACTAAGACATAGTCGTAATACAGTCCATGCATGATAAAACACACACCTTTGCCTAATTTCTGCGTCGATCAGACTACAGTCAGACATGAGATGGTGACAATTCCAGTAGTATCTTCGCCGCCATTATCAAAATCAGTCATGTTCAATTTTCAATATCTGTTTCCTTTTGAGATCTTTCTGATACCAGTACAGTAACGATCTCGTCAACTTTCCGAGACTTTCCATGTCACCACTTCCGTCTTTATCGCCACCTTCAATAATGCCCGCATCAATCCTACTGTATGCTCGTAACCGTGCCTGTAAAACATTTATTTCAATAGATGTAGATAATTCAATGTAATTTGCATTTTAAATATCTAAACCGACGTCAATAGTGTTCGAGCAGTGGATCATGGTTTCGAGGAGAATGGAGAGGTCAAATATTAGCTCGTAATCAATCCTCAATCCGTGTTTCCATGTTAAAATATTAAGCTCGAAATCCGATGTTTTAATACACATTAATCATACTGTTAAAATAATGAAGACGTGAACACTTCATGGTAATCATATTGTTTCTTAATATATATAGAGAATATTTGCATGCATTTAGTTTGATACAATTTTTGTTTTATTTCTAATGTAATTAGAAAACTGTTCACTTCAATCATAATACGAATTAGGAGTATGATATAACTCTGAAAAAAATAATGCAATATTTTTATCATCCTATTAAACTCACCCGATCCAAGGTGACAATGACTGAGTCCTCGTTCAAACGATTATGGCTCAAGTTTCGTTTATGTAGAAAACTAAGGTGTTCTGCAAGGTCTCTCACGATCTCGTACATACGTCTGGCAGAAGGCGTAGCAGTTTTGATGTAATCCCTTAGAGTCAGGTGAGACGGAATTCTGGCTCCAATAACAAAATGGTTGCAATCACAGATGTCAATCCACTTCGCGTATTGTGTAGTAAACGCTAGAATGCAGAGGAATATATCTAAGTGAGCAAACAAGTAGAACATATGCCCTTACCAGTTGTACATTTCTGAATAATTGATTGGTTCAAATGAAAGCAAATACTTACATGACGAAGTTCGATAGAACAGGTTCTTTGTGCTGCGTTGCAGGATTCTCTGAAGATAAAATTTCATACAACAGATACAACAGATAATAATTTTACAAACCCTACTCTTCTCGTGAAACTTTTCATAACCAGCATGTACAAACGTCACCTCTCCCAAATCTATGTCTAATACACGTATCTCGTGTGCAAAAACCAAAGTGGGATAACGCGGTCCAACTTGCATGTATGTGCGAAGTTATGGATGCATTCAGTGACATTTGCCATTATGAGGTCTCTATTTCGTTAATAAAATGAATTATTACATAAGCTCCTGATGAAGAGATTGCAGTTTTATTTAAGAAGTATATCGTGATTTTTCAGATGTTATATGACTTAAGTTTATTTGTTCAACATTGCAGTTGCTTCATCAATATTGCAGATACCAAATGTTGATGTAAGAGATAGGGAACTATTCAATCATAAGTACGTAGGTGGGATAATGGAAATTCTACCCTCGCGAATGAAATTTGGGTTCAGAGCCTCGGCAATGTCGTGAAATGCTATGTAGGTGGTCAGGTGGCGAAGTGGTAACGCACTCGCCTTTCACTCGTGGTACGGAGCTCGATCTACATGAAAAGTTATTGGATCAATTGCGCGATTCCCGGGTGCTCCGTTCTCATCCCACTATCAGACCTCTCGCGCGCTGCCATCCGGGCCATTGATATAATGATATAAGCTTAAAGCTTGTTTCACAATAATTGTAAAATACCTAAAGTTTATATTATATCAATTTTACATATTCGGATAGATTATCCATATCTCACATACATGCAGATATTTAACACTATTTGTAAAAGTGTTATGGCCAGTATAGACAGAATGACAAGACATTGGGAAGAAGAAAGTAGAATCTAAAATGATGATTTCGCTCTATAGAAAGTTCACCAAACATGTCCTGCTTACCTTTTGTCGTCCAACACCTGAATACGTATACAGCACGGGATTGAGGGCCGAGTTGACTGGTAATATAAATACGGCAGTCCAGGCGTAGACCTCAGAGGAAATCCGATTTCCAGAAAATGCCAAAAGTCCTATAAATAAATGATATTTACGTATTTACACACCCGTTTATGAATTTTAGATATTCAAAATGTTTCAACAGACGTTATCGATATAATCAATTTACTAGGATATCCCACACCGATCAGTCATTGGTCGTAGTAACTATCTCGGGGACAAGTGATGCCCTCTACCGGACAAACTATTACATTGTGTTGTTGATGTGGATGTTACCCTTTCGTGTTAAAGTAGAAATGTCCGTTTAATTTGAAACATATTTCAATATGTTTTATATTATAACGACGTCCTTATTCAAAATTGTAGTATTCGACTGGGTTACTATCCATTAAAAACAGAAATCGAAAATTTCTAAAATTCGAAAAGGCCATAACTCTCGGTATGGATGGAAGTGAAAGAACATTTACACTTGATTTGTGTCACATGTTGCTAACAAAACTCCAGCTCTGTTTCTTCAAGCATGAAAAACAACTCGGAAAAAAATCCAAAATTGTTTTGAATTTCAAAGGGCCGCAAAATTGTCAAACTTTATTCAATGGTATACCCTATCGCTATGAAAAATTCGCACAGACAAAAATCCCTAAACTTCAAATATACAAGAGATCCTAGAATCTTGGTGTCCACCTTCGTTTGATTACAATTTTTGTTTTTAAAAAAAGTTGGATTTTTTCTCTTTATATTTCTTCTTTCTTGTTGTTGCTCATTTTTATATGTGAAATTCTTCTTAAGATATAGCAACAATAATCTTCCACTGCCAAATTCAAGATGGTCGCCTGTCGGCCATTTTTGTATTTTAATCAGTCCAAATTAAGTAAGGCACACCTAGGAACCAAAAGAATCCCCAAATGAAATTTGACAAAGATCCATTCGGTACATTGGTAAGAATCTGTTATTGTCAAACTCCAAGGTATCAAACCAAATCAAAAGGGTACAACAAGGGACCAAAGAGAACTAACACACGGATTAAGAAAGATGAATGTAATAATTCTCAAGAAAAAGAGATAACAAGTATTGTTGACGGACGGACCAGGGATGAGGGAGATTTGAAATTACCACCATCTAATGATAATGGGTTACAACGAGCCGTAACGGTGGTTAAAGAGGCGATACAGAATTAAGTACGTGTAATACTATATAAAAATTATATCTGTAACTTACTATCATAAGGAGACCTAACACAGGTCATATTATAATCAGAAAGCGAAAAAGACATCAAACGTGCCATAACTCTGCCAAAATGGCATAAAATTTAAACTTGGTCTTGAAGTTTAAAAAAAGCTGTAGATACAATACAGCTCTAAGGTGGCAACACAAAATAAATCAGACGAGATTGACAAACGGACGGACAGGGAGAAAGTCCCCATGCACAACCGCTAAAGAACTACTCAATCGGGGAGCAAATTTTAATGGTTTCTATTTCGTCAGTATTGGCAGAAGAGAAATATCGATTTTGCAAATATAGTAGTATTGATATCAAAATCGACAATCATTATTTATAGAATTTAAGATAAGAAAATATCTTGACAAAACTCGTATAATGACCATTAGGAAAACAAATACGAAAATCAATTTGACACGTCATCAATTAACTGATGGTTGATTCACTTGATGCCAATAAATTTAAAACAAAACTAATGTAACAGATCAATAAATCACCATTATCGTGGAGTAAACATCTTAATGTTTGTGTGTAATACTGTTATATCTCATCAATCTGAATGCATTTGAATTGCATTGTTAAGAGCATGTAGTATCTTCACATAATGATTGTAAAAACTGAAATTAACGCAAACCATATCAAAACTATTATAAATAAACATTACGCAACCAATGAGGCCAACATTTATCAAGAGAAATGCTCGACGCCGTCAAATATTCAACCGTTTTGACCGTCTTTTATAGCTGTACTTTGAGGATTGTGCACTTGAATTAGCTTATATTCCCTGCGACAAATAGATAAGTCAAATAATCATTACATACTGGTAATCATTACATGTGATATAAAATACTTTAACTTAAATGCGAGTTACCTCTCTTTGCTAGTGAACCATTTAAAAATGAATATAAACAGAAAACAAAACCCTCCCTGAGTTTTATCGGGTTAATTTTTAAAGCATATTAAAAAAAGATATGCATTTTAGGCATGGGATGAATTAACAATGTCTTTCTGATAAAATAACACATCAAATTAGGACAGATACTTACAAAAATGGTGTAGTGAAAAAAGACGGCTCGGATAATAATATAGTTAATATATTATCTCACGAAATGTTGTCAAATAACACATCGATACACACAAGGATGCTGATATATATTTCTAACAGTAATGCAGTTTGAAACAAACATACATTTTTTTTTCTTAATGCGAATCCGGATCTTGACTTTAAAACTATCAGTGAGTTTATACAATGAGTATTGTTTTGTAGAATAATGTTCGTGAATAATCATTACATATCGTTCACTCATCATGTCAGTTTCATTTTGATATATTTTGTAGCATCTGCACCAAAGATTGTGTTCGTTAAACTAGACATTAAACTATAAAATCTTACCTAATTATTATTTTACGGGTAAAACAAATTACAACGAAACATGACTTTCGTATTCAGCCTAGTTGTAAAGACGATGATAATTATATGAAAACTTTACCCATAACTCCGAGCGGAAACCAGCACATGAAATCAGAGAAGACCACTAGAAATAGACTTCTAGCAATGGCGGCGTCCTGTACGCGTCTCTGAGATTTCAGAACCTTGTCGGTGGTGGATACTTCTTTGTATATCAATACCTGGCCAATAGCGATGCTGATGAAAATGATGAAGTTCAAGAGAATGAAGACTGCCATGCCGTATTCCCATCCATCCGGTTTGTCCCGTGTGAGAGGGAGTGCCAAACACACCGCAGAGCGTGAATAGAACTGACCAGAAAAGTAGGTTATAGGCAACAACGGAATTAGTGCAAGGGTACAACACAGAGACCAAACGGCAAGACAGGAAAAGATAATTTTCCTTTTGCTGAAGTAATATTGCTTCAACATAAATTTTATTGACACAAATCTATCTATTGTTATGAGGAGCAGAAACATAACAGAAGCTTCGCTAGAAATGGTTGCAAGAACACCTGCTAGTTTACATTGGACACTGTTTCTCCAGTAGAGGTCGTTCCAAATGTACTGGCCTCTATAGATGGAATCGGCAATCGCTATTATCAGCAGGTATATACCCATGAGGAAATCTGCAACGGCCAAGTTTAGTATCAAAATCCCATGGCCTTTTACAAGACTGCGCTGGTCGAAGATGATTTTGTATATAACCACACCTGAATTTCCAATAAGTGCACATACCCCGATGATCCAAATAAAAACTCTCAGATGATCTTCTCTCATAAGGTCTGAACACGAAGAAAATTCATCCTGATAGGGTACGCAATTTGCATCGGTCACAGAATTAGGCTTTAAGCAGCAGAACATGTACGCGTCTGTATATAGTTCTCTTAAACTGGCGAGACCATTGAAAATTCCATCCGAAAATTTGGATATCCTGTTTCCTCTGATATCAAGCACAATGAGATCAGTAAGAACAGAAAACGCATCGTTTTGAACGTCGTCTAACAAGTTGTTAGTAAGATTCAAAACCTTCAGGTCCCGTAATCCGCGAAAACTCCCTGCTGAAAGCGTTTTCAATTGCGTTTGTCTTACGTTTAACATCGGAAGCATGACAAGACCAAGCAAAGCGCCAGGAGTAATAGTGTTTAGATATCTATTTCCTTCGAGATTGAGAGAAATAAGTTTGTGGAGATTTTGGAAGGTTTTTGCAACAAGTACAGTAAGAGCGTTGTTACTTAAATCCAGGTGGTAGAGATTATCAAGATTATAGAAAGTGTCTGGAGTTAGACGTGATATTTGGTTAGAAGATAAGTCTAGCTCTGCCAGCATAAACGTTTCAAAAATGGGTACGCCGGCTGAAAAATCGGCATTTCTGATAGAAAATTTCCTGATATGTCCACGGACTGTAACATTACCAGTTAAATAGAATAAAATCCCTATACACGACATCTGAAGATCCTGACAGCTACATCCGGGTAGGCAATCAATGTCACACAGCACTTCATCATCTCCTTCTGTGCAATGTTTTATACCGTCACATACCTGACTTTGGCTAACACATACGTCATTGCCATGGCAACTAAATAAACCAGCGCAAGACCGATCTACAAGAAATCAGGTGAGATATTTCTTTTGACATTCTGTGAAGTACATTTTTGACTACATGAAACACAAATAATTATCAATATCAATGTAAATTTCTTTTCTTTGAACAAAAATTGATAGCTGAGTATTTATCTTAATTGACGAGAACCTTAATGTTATTTTGTCGGGATTTCAAGGTCAAATCTTAGCTTATACCTGTATTCTTCATTATATATGATTATTTATATGAAAACATTGCATACATGGTCGATTAGGTTGTCCTGCATTTTCGGTCTTAAATAGTTTCTTTATGCATATTTGAAATGTACCATGTACATCATTTTTCACGTTATATGGAGACTTTACCATTATAGCCGAATAGGATCAGTGTTCTAGAAGTATATACTTAATACTTATACTTAATTATGGTATTCGGATAACTTCCATTGGAATTTGAATAATTCTATGGGGAAAATTAACTTCGATAATTGTGAACAAAAACCAGGAATGTCAGCAATTAATATACATTCATGAATATCATCATATAAAGTTCAGCATCATTGTAAAAAGTGCGTGAAAATTCAAACCTAATACACACCTATAAACAAATCCAATGATTAGCTTCAAAAGATTTCTAAATTTGAAAATGGCAAAACGTTTATGAAATATATATTCGTTTTAATAGATATTAAAAGTAGGTTAAACAACAACCGCTTGATAACCTACCACAATTTGCCTCATCCTCCCCGCCAGAGCATTGAGATATACCATCACACACATAGCGAACCGGAATGCAGTAACCTCGAGCGCACTTAATGTGGTCTGGTGGACATTCAAATGCATCTAAAACATAGTATTCTTTGTTAGGGACTCTCATCATTGATTTAGGAAGGTTTGTTTAATGTAATCAATATTTGAACCCGCTAAAGATGTAAGAATTAAAATGTAGGTAAATATTTATCATACATCACATCCGTATTCATGTGTGTTTCCGTATGTAATTTCGACTGATATGCAAAGAAATGATGTAAATAGGAGGAATTTGCATATGAAATATTATTCAAACTTGCCCAAAGATTTTTTTCTTTAATTTTCTCTGATTTTAGATTTTTAAGAATACGTAATTGTAGCTATTGAAATGTATACAAATATTCCTATTTCATTGTTTGGGATTTACACTAACGAAAAATATAGAAACGCAAGAAATTCAGGAAAGTATGGTTTGTTGTGATTAGTACATTCCATAGAAACGTTGCATCTCAGAATTTCGAAAAAAAAAAAAAAACATAATCTAGAAATTCTTGGAATTGTAATCTTATATCAACGTGGTTAATACATCGCCTCAATGCTAGGCTAGGTTTCATCAACATACACAGTGTAACTTTGAACATACCACAATCGTCCAGATGTGAGAGGTCACTACAACCTTGTATTTCCCCATACTCGTCATAGTCCAGAATACATATCTGCTGATTGGCTATAGAAATACCACTCCGGCATCGAAAAGTCTTGGAAATGGATGCTTCTTCTGTAAATTTTATATTAGCTTGATTTGCTTTTTAAATGTACTCTTCCAGAGAAATGTTATCAAAGGTTGATACAGACAAAAATAATGTGTTTTTATTATGTGACCGTTAGTTGAAGTTGATTTGATACCTTCTGTGTATATTCTAAATATTTTGTTATTTTAGCAATTTACAGGAAATAATGTATCATTCATAATATAGTGGAAATGTGATTTTTAACACGTGATTTACCATGTTCACAGATAAGGGGTCCGACAGTGAAGGATGTGTATTGTTCCACCCCGGCTCCTAGTTCTACTTCAAAATGTGCTATGGGTAATACTGATGTCGAATATATGATACCGGTGTCACGAAACACATCATTAATGCCAGCTTCATACCAAGCATTCACATCCGATGTGCAATTGCATCTGAAAATTTAGCGAATTTCAATAAATGCTATATTAATCTGCTATCTAATTGAAATCTGTAAAACTGAAGTCGTTTTGTAATATTTTTTCTATTTCACAACATTCAACATCTGAAGTGATCTTATGGTGCTATCGTTTATGAAAAACAAATAACCTATAGGATTTCGTTATCGAATCAAAATAATCGTCTTTACCTTGGCTGCGACATGTCACATTTCTCAAAAAGGGGACAAGAGCAAGTTCCATTGGGTTGACCTTCAATGTTGGCAACACGCCAAACATGATCTCGTCCGTAGAAGCCAAAATTTCTATTAAATGACATGTGACAAGCGTAGCTGATTTCCTGATGACAAATGTTATCCAACTTGATATGGTCGATGTATGACATTGGGATCATGTACGTGATATCTCGCTTCAATTCCTCTTGCCTAATAATGACTTCTTCCTCTTGGTCATGGTGTATAATTGTCCTCACCAATGTGTTATCTTGTCCCATGGCTTGGAATTGGCATTCAACTTTTACTGGACCTGAAAAGGAAAGCCGTTAATTTCAAACATATTCTAGTAATAACAGAAAGGGTCACGGCATCACTTAGCTATATTGAAAGTAAAACGGCAAAACAAGAACATTATTTGTCATATTTTGAATTATCCTCGGCTCTTTCTGTAAGATGTAATTTTGATGAAATTTGATGATTCACGAGCAACGCGTAACGAACCGAATTCATCGGATATGTTATATCACAATCATGAACAGTTCATAAAGTATTTTGTTTCTTGTCTTTCATTTTTTAAAACCAAATGCATTCATCACTTAAGAACAATCCCATCAAATTGCCTGAGTCGACTGGTTTAGAGGTTACAATCAAGTGCTTTTCCATCACCTTTAATTTGTTTTTTCAACTAAAAGGTTGTGTCTATGTAAAAATACCAGTTAAGTCCGGTAACTAAATAAGTTTTGAATTATGGACATGAAATCCAATCTTTGATAATAATTCTGTCGTGAATGACAACCATGTAGACGCATGGATGGGAAGTAAATGGCATACTTTCCATTCCGAAATTAATGAAGTATTCGCCATCGCTGTTGACACCAAGATCCAGCATTGAAGCACATGATGACTGAACACTAAGCTGGCATTGCTGACTCTCATCTTCGTACAGAAGTCCACTGCAATCTATGGTACCGTCACATTGACGAGACTCTCTAATACATGTTTGATCATAGCAAAGGAAGTTAGGATACCTGCAGATATCTACAAAAATAAGCATTTGTTTATTTATTGGCATATAATACATATTATACTATTTGCCTAGTATAAGTCAATATTGTACTACAATACCAAAGATGTTAGGGATTTTTTTGTCGAATAGGAAGTAGCCACATTGATTTTGATGGGCATGTGTAGGTTGCTATGATTCAAATTTGAGACCGTTGATACTTTCAAAAGTACTTCCATGGAACAGGAGCTTTTGAAATATAATTATCGGCTGATCTTTAAATCTAATGTCGAACTACATTCTTTTTTTCACTACCTGGCCTCAACTATTAATCATTTCTTTAAAACTAAAAATCATTATTAGCGACTGAAAATTAAATATCCGCCAGCTAAGATCATACCACAATTGTCTTCGTCAGTTCCATCTAAGCAGTCTTCTTTCAAGTCGCAGAAAAGCTGATCATCTACACACTGGCCGTTGCTACAGCGAATTTCATCTTCCTTACATGACGCATAGACTGTTGTATAAAACAAACACATTCGCTTTCAAGATATTTGGAAATTAACATCTATTTGTTCAGTAGGTGCACATAGTGTCTCATTTATAAAATAATAACAAAATGGAAGATAAAAAAGCGAAAAAACTCTTTGTTCGTTGGGTGAAGAACAGTTTTCAAAAGCAAAAATTCTGAGTGACAATGAAAAAAAAAGTCGCAAATGAATAGAAAGATTATCTGATTATTGGAACTAGATTAAGAAATTATATGAATAAACTAACCGCACGACCTTTCATCCGAACCATCTGTACAGTGATCAATGAAGTCACAATAAAGAGTGAGAGATATGCACTGTCCATCTTCACACCGAAACTGGTTTGACGCACAGGAATTGGCAGTTGAGGCTATATTAAAATCAGCACGTGATAATATGGGCTATTAATAAAATAACCTTTACAACAATTAAGTATCATTGTTATGTTATGTTATCAAACACACAAAAAAAAAAAAAAAAAAACTTCAGTCGCAGAGTATTGCTTCCGCTGCTTTAGTACGTAAAAAATTTAGTCAAAGATATTGGTATTCATACGTTTGTTTCACTACTGACGCAATGTTTATTCTTAAAACTTTTTTTATGTGAGAAACTTTTTATAGGAAGTGTCTGTATGTATGATACACACTTTGGCCGTAACAAAGATTACATGGCAATTTAAGTAGATGTGCTGGTTTTGTAAACGGTATAAACACCAATAGTTTGCCATTTTTCTAACTAGCAATTGAGTTTGTGTGCCATTTCCCCCAAGAATGGTCATGGTACCATGAACAATTATGAACTAGCCACTGAGATTGTGAAAGTCAAAAGTCGAAAATTTTCTCAGAATAACTTTACTTCCAAGTCTTCTTGTTTCCAAAATAAGGGGCCAACATTGGCTGATGTCGTGCCTGTGTATGATAACCATCCAAGTGTGCTGCTTTTACCAATAGATAATAGGTAGTTTAATGTTAGTTTGTAAGGCTTGTTCCCGCAATAAGGGCACACTTCACGTAAATGTCAGGTTGATACTAAGTGTATTCACTGCTGCATCACTGTCTGTAAGACATGTTATAGTTTGAAATTTCACGGTAAAAATTGTCTCGTAAGTGCTGTTATACCTACACAAGTTGTAATACCTATATATCATCTATGTACAGAAAAATGTATGAGTTGTATGATTTGTAAGCTGCAACCACAGACTGTCTATGCTTCATTTTTGAGAATATCCTACAGTATCTTGAGCATTAGATGTAAAATGTAACTCATAACTCCTGAATATTCATGGCGAAAAGTTCTAAAATCGAGACTTTTAATCGTTTAAGTCACGCAGTGCCTTGAAATGATTTGTTTATCATTTTTCTAATTATCGAAAAAAAAAAATATATATATATATATATATATATTGAAATAGTCTGAACATTTCACCACAGTTTACTAATAGCATTTATATCCTTCATATAACACACACAGCTATGACTGATTATAGGCGACCAAGTGCCATCTTAATCAACGATTCACAAATACTTGTTGGACATATATTTCAACATACAGTGGGCAGAAAACGGACCAATATGCCTGAAGTCGAAAGCTCTTTCAAATAACTTGCTCTGGTAATGTAAAATGCCTCTTACCACATCCATATTCATCACTTTTGTCGTGACAATCATTCCGTCCATCACAAATAAATGCCCGCGAAATGAATTCTCCATCAGAACATGGGAACACAGAATAGTTAGACTCCTTGGTCCAGAATATGTTCGGTAAATTCCTAATGTCGATGGATTCTGAGAAATGAAATACATTTTGAGTAAATATATTTGTCTGCATGACATTTTGTTTTAGTCTATACCAAATTGATAAGTACCTGAGAAATATGAGAAACAGAAAAAATGTGTTGGACGAAGTATTCACCTTTTTCGTTACAGTTAATTGGAACAATACATATACTTCTTAAAACCCTACAAAAATCTGATGCATTTGCTAACGCGTTCAAAATTGCCTGTCCATCATATCTTTTACCATATGACATGCATATTTGTTTTCATCATACAGCAAATTTTGTTCAGTGAACATTTTGAAACTGAAATCTTCAGTTAATTGCGGGTGGATGGTCCATTTCTAAAGACATAGGGGGGTTCATATAGAATCAAGTGCCAAGGAAGTAATAAAAAAATTAAGACAGGATAGAACATAAACATGATAAAGATTAGAATAATAATAATAAAGAAAATCATAGTTTATTTATCTTTTAATTAAATTTATTATTATCAAAAATATATTGTTATTGTCAACCTCTTATTAAGTGATTAAAAAAAGATAAACATGTTTATTACAATTGATTTACAGAGTGAGTACTTGAATATTCATATTTCTGGCAAAGAATGCTTTCAGTTTAACATAAGATTGAATTACAAATAAATACATCAAAAGATACAATGGGTCCAATTAAATTATGCCTACGTTATTGCTTTGAAATAATTACTGAAACCAGTATATTGGTGAGAGATTTCCCTGTCAATATTTACCTTTATTGTTGAAAGGAGACTCCATCTCACATATAAAGCTTGGAATCTGGTCGTAGGCACAAGCTATATCATGCCAGTTATCAATAGTTCGAATGCTTCCCAATCGTATGACTGTACATCTCTCACTAGACAAACCATCCGGCTGAGACTTCTGTTCAATGGGATCTTTGTACCTGAAATAGTTTTGTGTATATTGTCCGTTAAATCATACAATTTTAACTTCATTCATAATTTATCTGAATTTGTGTACATAGAGTTATCTTCCCTTTAAAAACGATCGTTTGCGAAGAGTTTCGTTTGGAACGTCATTCATTTAATCGTTTCAACTAAGTTATACCATAACATTCGTCTATTATATTAAATAATTTCACTTAAATTTTAATTTTCATAATATCAGTGATTTGACATCCCTTTAGTTACAGCGTAGAATGTAAGCAGTGAACAAAACCAATTGGTATACAGGCATTATATTAATAATATTTCCACAAAAACAAAAGAAATATCAACAATACCAAGCTGTGTATGTCAACGGCGTGTCATCCAGCCATCTATAGTGTATAGCACCGTCAATCAGCAGCTTCTCTAATCCTGTTTATTACGGAAATGATCAAACATTGATACATTTTTAAAGGAAATTAAAAAGCATCCATTTTGAAGGGTTTGAAATTCTGAAAATAATCATCTTATGGGCATTAGATTTCGTGGATACTCCACGGAAAAACTTCATTTAGGATTTTAGTAATTGGTTGATTCATGGACATGAGAGTAACATCGATAACCACGAAATAGACGAAAAAACATCACTCATTTGATAGTAGTCATCGAAAAAGCTATGACGTCAATATATGATTTCAACTTTAATAACAAAAACATAACATAATGTGTAACATTTTCTCGTGACAGGGAATCGTATTTTCTGTACTATCACCTATATGTATATTATGCCTGAGTATATTTTTTGTACTGCTTGCTACAATCCACTTTGATAAGTGTTACTTTTGCAATTAGAGATTGAATAATACGATATATTTTCACATCTGAAATGAAAAAATATTGGTCGAGGAAATTTAAATTATTGCGTAATAATATTAGAAGTCCTCTTTTACGAATACTCTAAAGATATTATCAGTGTCTGTCAGCATGCATAATGTTCTTCACAAGAAATAACAGTTATACCTATGTACGCCTCCCCGTTGACAGAGTTGCCCCAAATCTTTGTCATCAGATAATGAATGAAAGTCATTTCCTTTTTCGATCCAATCGACGCGAGATATCCGCCAACGTCGTGACATTGGTCTCTTGCCTGTATCCACGTAACACCAGATGTAAGGTTTGTTTCCTTGAAGAGCTTGTAACAACTGGTCCCAAATTTGACCCATTCTGGTAAACAATCTGCAATATTTAAAAAAAAAGATATATTAAAACTTAGTAGGTAGTTCTAATGTTAAAATAGCCTTCTCTTAAAGAAAAATAACAACGTTAATAATACAAATAATGAGTTTGACAGTCATAGGAATCGTGGTGGACATTATACAAACGTATATAGTTATTTAACACCAATAAGACATCGATACCGTCCCAAGTTGAAAAAAGACAGAAGCTAATCAATGTGAGCATCGTTGCCCTATGACGTATGTGATGAACTACTTCTTGACCCATTTGTCTTGACCAACAATAATCAAGTTCTTGTTCTTATAAATACCTATAAATTAAACATTTTCAGATTCGTGAGATATATGGTATGTCGGATTATATTTTTCAAGGTTTTGAAGTGGGACGTTTTGCCCTTAGACTGATAATTACCAATAATGTCAAATAGTATGCCAAGTGTCATCTTCTAATCTTATGGCGTAAATGCGAATTTGAATTGTTGATAAGTTGATGAAATATCATTGTCAAACGATAGTGCTATAATTGGTCAATTAATGTACGCGCTCGTCTATAGTTATCAAACTTTTTTTTATTGTTGTTGTGACTACTGGTAATTTTAATATCAATTTGCTTCTGGATGACATTTCAACGATCTTCATGATGATGAATGAAGCTTCATTAACGCGGCATACTATAAATAATTCCTTTTTCGTTCATTGATTCCGTGGATGCTCTTTAAAAAGTCTTTGAAAACATATGATTTTACAGTGTCGTAAAAGTAATAAACACTTCTCAACGCTTACCTTCACCTGTGATGTTGTATGACGCTTGAATGGAGTCGACCATTTCATATTTGCCGAAGAACCCTCGTCCCGCACCGTCTCCAGCACGGAATTCAATCTGCATGTAATGCCAGCTGGATGTTAGTTCATAATAAACTCGATCACTCCGACACATTTTTGCTAATAAGGATTGCGTCCTGCCGTCAAATTGGATATCGTAAACAGCCAGGAAGGATTTTTCACACGAACCTTGGTCATCTATGACATCGAGATTTAATATTTCTAGACGAATAAAAACTCCAAATATTCCCTCGATCCTCCAGCTACATGAGGTCAATAAAGAAATATCCGATGGGTATCCCGGAGTACCGATGTACGCTGTCGGAAGTGTGCATGTACCAATGCAAATACCTGAGGTCATTCCACATCCGGGTATATCTGGTTAAACATAACGGTAATGACTATAAAACATATTTTAAAGTTTAAATTGCACCAGAAGTGTAAAACAAATTGACATGAAAGTTTTTGTTCAGTAAATCGAATTGCTGCTTACTAATTGAGTGGAGATCACGCTTTTTATGAATTGCATCATCAAAATTGTAGTTGAAAGCGACAAAGATACCAGATTAATCTTAAAATGATAGTCGGCAGAAACCTAGTAGTGAGTTTGTCTGTAGAGTATCAGAAGAGAACCAGAACATCACTCTTACAGTATTACATAATGGCCTATTATATTAAGCTTTTATTGGTATTGTTTAATGTGTCTACTTACCACTTTGTTTCACACGAAATTCAAATGTTCTTTCACCAGCCATTTTATTTAGAATACACGATTTAAGGTCTATGAACAGAGTTGAAACAGACGATACGATTTTCGATTTCTCAAAAAGTTGCAAAGAGAAAGTCTTTTCATCAGAGATAATTATTGGTGTTGCAGGGTCGTCATAAATCTTCAGAACGTCTGAGCAAATGGTTGTATCTCCATTCAAAATATCCTGAATAAGAAAAGGCGTCAAGTACCAAAATAATGATGTCATTAATCACCCGAACTGATGTTTGTTAAGTATAATGTATTAGATGGATGTTCATAGATAAACTGTCAGACTTACTATCTCGTATAGAAATTGTAAGATTGTAAATAATCGATTACTCTTTTTCTGCTTTCATTGTTCCTGATGTTTAGTGAATTTATGACGCACTTTGGTGATAACAAATGTAGTATTCAGCGTTGCAGTTTGGAAGAAAAGATTAATCTTGTACGATTCCTTGATCACAAAAAATAGAATAAAGGGATTAAAACTTTGTTGAAAGTAAGTCATACATAATTCAGAAAATATTTATATCTTAATCAAACTACACACCTGAAGTTTATAGTTCCATTTTACTTGATCAGCTAGTGACAGGAACACAATCTCCAGGTAAGGATACATTCCAGGTAAGGCTTCTATTGTCCACTTACAGTGTGTATTCTGGTTATAACTTAACGGAAATGACGGGGAAAGCATCGTGACGGTTCCCTGGGTAGGTAGGGTTACGTTACCGCCACAGTCGGACATTTTTGAAATGTCTGAAAGAAGTGTATATGAATTATTAATTATAAATCATTATTTGTTACTTGTGTGTATTGTAGCAGGTTTGTAGGTATTCGAAATTGTTGCTTGGCAAAACATGAACGATTAACAAGATGGCCATACGGTAATATTGGTTAACTTGCCAAAGTACTCGCTGTTGAGTCCCATTTTAAGACATCAGCTAATTCATTAGTCTGTTTTTGTTTGAATCACTACTGAAACAACAATCACTTATCGACTTGCATGCTAGAGGATATAGGATGGTTGTGAATGTATTGTTGAGCGAACAGTCAATAATAAAACAAAGCAGTATAGTTTTAGATAAGGAACCTTAAAAACATTAGAAACTTATCGACTACTTTTTCCTTCGCTAAATGTATGTGCCCAGTTACATATAGGCTAACTGCTTATGTACTGTCGATAAAACCATTGTGCCGCAGCTGCATAATTCTCGATATTGTCGACAACGTAAAATGATTTAAAACCAAAGGGAATTAATAACTGCAACACTAAAACAAAACCATATCATCTGAATGAAGTCTCCAAGTGAGATCAGTGAAACGACGGAAATTTGGGTGAAGCTGTATGTATATCAATGATCTTGTATTATTGTGTTACTTAATCCGGCTGGCGGGTTTAATTTCATTACAAACGGAGATTTCACGCATTATGCGTCAATATATAAATACTGATAAATGGTTAGTTGGTAATAATGAAAATAACAAAAATAATCATGTTAAGAGCAAACAAACAAAAGAAAGAAGAACAAACAATTGATATCTGCGTCAGCGTAAGACATCTATATAAAACCTATAGACACGTTCATGATAATGCTCAGAGGTCCATTGATTTCAGCAGCTCATTTTGTTGTATTTGGTTTTTTTATGATTCTCCGAGGTATCAATGTAATAAGTATAAACACCTTGTATACAAAGCCGTTCACCGCTGAATCTCACCGGATCAGTATTTCGAACCCATGAATCAGCAAACTCCCTTAGATATCTATAGGCCCTCTGTACCACGCATGTCTGAAGCTTCTCATCGTAGTAATATGACACTTTCTTTTGATCGATCACAAGTTGTCTGCATTCCTCCAATCGTGTGTGGTTGTATATATCTTTTGTAGATGCAGGAACCCACCACGAGATATACTGCAATTCCGCATGGCCAAAATCAAACGTGTCCGTTCCACAATGTATATCTCGGATAACTGTACAAGACAACAACGTTACTTAGTTGCATAAAATAACTGTAGTATGCTTTAACAAACGTTTTGTAATATGAATAAAACATGTTCATATAACATTAAATTTTATAAACCTTTGCAATGTATATACATCATTAAAATATGTACAATATTGGATCGGATTAATTCTGATATGAAGTTGCTGAATTACATCTTTAAAAATCATAATGTTCTGATGCGTTGATGGAAGTGAAGACGATTCGTTAATGTAGTTGACTTACATCGTTTGGGACGCCCAACTAATTCCAGTTTCAGACAGGCCTGATTTTTAACACTCAGTATGTCTATCTTTATGAAGCGGGCAAGCACCTCATTGCTCAGTATGAAGCGGTGGACTGCTGTACTCTCATAGTGATCCATTGTTTTAAAAATCTTTTTTTTTTGTTTATGCAAGTGTAAAACAAAACACGACCTATCTTGAATAAAACTTTAAAATTGTTCAAAAGACACAAAAGAGTATTACATCTTTCAATATTAAGATATAAATAGATACAGTACAATCACGTAATATAGTCAACTGTATCATATAGCTATTTCTTTAGTGATGATAAAGGCCTCAATAAACCTAAATAAATTTATATATATATGATATTAAGTACACACGTACATTCTGAACCGAGTCATTCGAACGAATGTAATAATTTCCAAATAATGCCTTTCATCGTTACAACAATATTGGCTGCCTTTTAAAGAGTTATTGCAAAAACACCAATTAAATTGATAGATGCAGGAACATATGGACGATTCAAAGAAACTCATCTGTTTACTGGGTACAGTGAATGACAATTACCTTAACAGTTCCTTTCGGATCCTCATATGGATGTAAGCTATGAAAGTCATTTCCGTATTTAAGAATAAATGAGTTAACAAGTTTCCTCTCCCCTTTGTCGTCCCATCCTTGAATAAGTAGCCCTTGGATTACAGTGGGGACGATAAGGTCAACCTGTTAAATAAAACAATAAGAGACGTCCATGTAAAGGAAGATTGAGTTGACAAGATTGTATATATTGTCTTTCTTAGTTTGCGTCCAAAAAAACCCCATTTTTTTCTTGATTCAAAATATTCTAGTTTAGCCAGAGTCATTCCAGGGCGAGGTTATCTTGTAGTTATGGGTGGCTACCTCACCACCAACTTATGAGAGTCCTATCTCATGCAGTCGTGAGCAATAAGGGTAGAGTGCCTTACCCAAGGATACAACGGTAGTAAAGGATAGTCCGTGTATCAGCTTGATGATACACTAACCGTACAGGATAGGGAACTTCGAACCAATCACCTAAGATCTTCAACGGAAGTTGTAAAGGCCAACACTCTACTGATCATCGCGGCCACGTGATAATCGGGGCTTTCATTTCTTAGATATGAAGTAAACACAGTTTTGTTACCGAAAACAAAATTGTGGATTAAACTAAAGGCAAGCAAGATGTTTGCGAACTCGGTTCGATACAGTTTAGCCAGAGGAAAGACCTAAACATCAGAATAGATAAAAAATAAAAAAAAAAAAAAAAAAAACCCTGAATCCGGACAGAAAGATGCAGTAGCCCCAGCATGGAACTTATTTCTTTTTGTATATTCGACGATTTCAAAAGAATATTCAGGGCATATGTTTATATAAAGAGTGACATGAAACACAGTATCGACGGAAATACGTGTATCATAAAAGCAACACAAAAATCAACATGATAACTGCAACGAGAATTGAATTAATCAAACCCATTATGTATAACTAAAATAATATCAATGCTATTTTTAAGATAAATGTATTTCACCAAGCATTAATTCATCAATTTCATTTGAGTTTCCTCAAAGTTTTACTGACCAGAAACCATGGATGTTCATCCTGATCCGAAGGACACCATCCTCCCGTCGGCAGCAGCAGTCGACCGTCGTTGGCGTTAACTGTTAACATGCTATTTGATGAGGAATTTATTTGGTAGTCAAATATGTCTCCTGTGATCATTCCCATTGGCTGTCCATATTGTGTTTCTGTGGAGATGTTCGAATTAACAATTATGCGATAACATTTGGATTCTTTTATCCGTGCATAACTAATCCGCAAAAAGTTATAATTTACATCGTTCTTACCAAATGCATTTGAAGTATTGGAAAACGTCTTAGTGATATTATGATAATGACAAGAATAGTTTGATTATTTTCATGAGGAAGCGTTCTCGGTATTTTTTACGCAATAATACGCAATTTCTGTTACAATCGACGTTCCAAAAATCTGACGTAATACATTAGTTGATATTAAACAAGGACGTTCTAGACATGTTCCAAATCTTTATCGTATTCTTAACTAACAACAAGATGTTTTCTAATGGTTCATCTATGATCGTATACATACTTTTCCCCAGTACTTTGATCTCTGTAATTTCCAGTATGTGAAACGTTCCGTATTTTGTGTATGAATTAGTATCATCGAAATTTCTGACGCTGACAAATTGGCCAATGACGGGACGCTTGCATTGGAATCGAAATATCTTTTTTCTGGCAGGAAACCTCACATCATCACATCGGATTGCTCCATAGTCTAGAAAGTCCCACTGATTCTTACTCACGAATGTCCCAACACTGCGGAAATTTACTGGAAACCATACTACATAAAGAAAATATATTATTTTCTAAATCGAAAGTAATAAAAAAACATTTTAACATCTACATTTCATGACTAATAAACCCATCATGTGTATCTTGAAGCCATGTTGGTAATGTCTCGTTCGTAAATGAACAAGGTATACGATGACGGCGCCAACAGGCATACTAAACCAATCTTCTGTGTTATAAATCGCGATCTCGGTCTACGATTCACCCAATACAATAATGGCAGCTTAACGAAACTGTAATGTCTAACAATACCTGTTCTATAATTTCACACATATGTATACAAACAATAAAACATGCTAAGCGGTAATCTTCTTCTGCAACTTTTCTCATTCGATTCGCGTGAAAGTGAAAATAAGTGGGAACTGCATTAAGTTCAACAAAATGTTATTTAAAGATACTCACTGGCTCCTCGGTATACCTGTATCGCATGTACGTCATACCACTCCTGTAGATCGACCTGTAGGAATGGTTTCGCCTGTGGTCTGAACGTGATGAACGATGATCCAACTGGAAAAATATCTTCAGGTCTTTAACACGATACTAACGAATCTTTCATAAAACGAATATGTTTTTATTTATTAGGTTGACATACAGACACACACCAGACAGACTCACAGACAGACACACAGATGCACAGACAGACACGCCAACAGACAGACAATGAAATCACGTCTTATAATTCTTTCATCAATCATTTGCAACAGTACTCACAATCAATCCCATCAACGGCGAAGAACGGACCATATGAATCGACGAACGTGGAAGTATAAACAGGCTTTCGTGCTTCTATAAACTCTAGTCCGGGTATTTCCTCTTTAAAACACAAAGGTAAATTATCATTCCTTAAACGATCAAGAAACTTCGTAAACACATTATTTGTTCGAAATATTATATTACACACATTATGCTTCTTGTCGTTCAAAATTACATGAAATAATTCAAAACACGTTGTAACTGGTAGAGTTTATATATGTATATATATTTGAATTATCATTGCTTAACCAGGATCAAATTTATACTCCATGAGCATTGCACAATTGGCGGTATATGTCGAAGAAATATAAGAACGGCACATATTTGAAGAACCTGACTGATCTAGAAAACACACATACTGTATAATTAGATTTCCACGTGCTTACCGTTCGCTATATATGAATTACGTTTATGGTACTTCGCAGATATTTCGAATTTCACAGGCAAGTATTAGTCAATAATCAAGGCAGAACCTGGTCATATGTCCCACATTTTATTTTTATGTCTTTGACATGCAGCAGCGGGAATGACACTAAACATGAATGAATCAATTAATTACCGCATATAGGGACATCACAGTATTCTCTGGTCCATTCCATATCAATGAAGCACATAGGTTTCAAAGAATATAACGATAAATCCATATTTTTGCAAAAGTTTTCCTCTAGTTCATAGTGCCATTGAACACTATTATTGAAATAGCCATCGGGAAGCGTCACCCAGTGGAGGCATGCTTGACCACGTGCGGTCACGTTCTGACTTCCGGAATATGACGCACCTTCGTCACTCTCATAGTAACATTCTCTCCGCTCTGTAGACATGAGATATATAACTTTCATCAGCTTGAACTTGTATAAACATAACATATTTCCAATGTACTGGGTTTCTGCATTGTTTTATAACCTAACTCTTTAATACAATTTACTGTTAACCCATCTTCGTGACATTCTTAAATGATCAATTTCATCTAAAAGCAAATCATATTAAAACAAAAGACTAGGTAATATTGGCTAGATATGTTCCCTACAAGAACTGACCGTTCGACGTATAGTAACAGTATGGTATTCCGACATGTCTGTAAGATATGTTGACATCAGGAAAATCGCCGGAAAACTCCCAGTTATTCCTGTCGTTAGTCATAAAGAAAACTTCCTCCTTTGCATCCATTTGATCGACCGCTTGGCAACTGCCCGCAGTATTTCCCTTAAAATAGACATAAACGTTCAAAACAGATTATTTGAGATATTTATTCATGAGGTACATTATTACAGAAGAAATTATGGGAGAAAGGGTGTCTAGAATATTCCTGGTTTGTTGATATCCTCATACGTTGTTTTTGACAAAGAATGTCATGTATTATATTTTGTTGTATTGGTATAAGCCCTTGTGTATTGGTATATCGTGTGGATTATTATGTTGAATTGTTATGTCCAGTAGGGGTGCTCTGTGGACTCTAGGCCCAGTAGAGGTATATCATGTGGATTATTATGTCGAATTGTTATGTCCAGTAGGGGTGCTCTGTGGACTCTAGGCCCAGTAGAGGTATATCATGTGGATGATTATGTCGTATTGTTAAGACCAATAAGGCTGTGATCTGTGCAATAGCTTTAGTAAAGGTATATCTTGTGGATTAAATGAATGTCACTAATAAATATTTTCAATGAAAGCAAACATTCGACATATTGTGACAATCATATTAGTCGAATGTAACCAGAATGTTGAACAAAGATTCAAAATGAATTGACCTGAATGGGCGCCCTTCCGCGGGTTAAATATAACAGCATTTTTTTTAAATTCTGTGGATACCGATGATCATATTTGGTCTTGTTTTACAGAGCAAATTCAACCGTGAATGTACTTTCTTTGGGAAAACAAGCTACAGGAGCCCAAACCCAACTTGATAATAATATTGAAATTGCAAATGGCATTTCTGGTAAATCATTGGATTAATTGCCTTCCATTCGAAGTTCCAGTACTGTTATCACCTTCTTTATCCCCGTCACTAGTGATGTTATACAAGTTATTTACCATAATGTTCACTTTCACAGCTTGAAACAACCAGTATAAGTCCCTGGTACTCAGTCTTCCTTCTAGTATTATACTCAGTTATATTTGGTAAAAAAATAATTTCTGCTGCGCTTTATTTGTATATGTCATCATTAAGTGTTGCACTAATTGAAGAAAATTGAAGACCTTACTCATAGCGTCATTATTTCAAAAACATCAAATGTGTTAATAACATCAAAAGTCAATCAGGCTCAAGATTGGCATTCACTCTATAAATATTGAAAAAGATCATTCTACAATAACGATAATTACATCAAACGAAAAAAGACATGTGTGACATTCGACGTTCTTGATGGACCCGGACCTCCTTTGACAGTAATAGATACGCCATTCATGTACCAGACATTGATTATTAATAATGATAAAAACAGAATTAAAACTCATCCAACAATAGCATAGGTACGTTTTCTGTCAACATAAAGCTGTTATTTCAAAAACTGCAATCACAGGAAATTAGTTTTGCAAATATTTATCACAACATAGTTCTGTAAAGAAAATCGGAAATTAGTGAATTTCATATATAGATTGATATCCATTCTTTATTCCCATGTTTTTAATGCATAACGTGATCCCATTAATTTATGACATTTGGGAAACTGTTTGGCCAGTAAACATCCTGAAAAAACGAAGGTGGTTTTCATTTTACATATGATGTCTTTTGTGAGTATAATAATGTTAGAAATTTGATTAAATAAGAATAAGGATATTGCTTCATGAAATAGGATTTCCAATGTCATCGACATTATTTTCTCGTGAATACACAATGCTCTGATAAAAAATTTATTAATTGCATATCATCTTGCAGTATTTTTCATAAAAGCCGCTTTTTTTTCAATCATAATAAATGGAATCACAATGTATAAAGATATCCTACTCATCATCAGTAATAAAACAAGGTTTTCAGAGCGAAGATTTACCTTCAGTAGAATGAATGGAAACGTGTTTGGTAGGGAGATGGAATTCTCTGTTTCCCCATCTTTTCTACAGCAGAAATGAAGCTGAAGTGACGAGTTTCCTGTGCCGAGAGTAATATTCGGCAAGACTCCCCCAAGGTCTGTGTCGTCAAACAAATACCCGTGTACCGTAATTGATCCTTCAGTGAAGTCTGTGTATTTCCCGTTCCGAAAATGTGATGGAGAAAATCAAACAGAATTTTATCTAATTTTCGAAAGGTATTGACCAATAAAACCAATAACATATACATTAGAGTAAAGGGATAACATTATACTGAATCAGGAGAGTATGCGGTAAAAATGACAATTACTCCGTTTCTGTAAGTAAATATTTAGTTTTCCATCATCGCTAATTTAAAGGGTTCATTTGACTAACAGGAACATGGCGTTGTTTGTAAATAGTGGGAAGTCATTTTAAAATTTCCAGTCAATTATCAATTTCTTTTCAATTAGTTTTAAACGAACATCTCTGTTTCCTGTTGTGATATAATAATTATATCAATGAACAGTGTAGTGGCTTAATAGAGTTGCTTCTCTTTGTCAAAATGTCTTAATTTTCTTTCATTAGCACACCCAAATCAGTTGTCAACACTACCATTATCTATGTTTCCTTTTGTATTTTTTTTATTTCATTTACATTTATATATTCAATGTTGATATTTAAAATGGTGACATGGGATCATGGAGCGCCCGGCTTTGTGTAGTATTTACACGCTATGTGTATGCAGAAAACGGAGAATTTATATCCTAGTTATGTAAACTTTAAAAATCTACAATCTTTATGTAGTGATTTTCTGTAGAATGAATCTATTTTATAAAAAAAAGTTCCAAGTCAAACACTTATCAGAGAAGTCACACACAGTCTTTGGCACAAAATCGTTTTGTTTTGAATTAAAATAAATTTAGTCGCATTCATCATTGTTTCTTTTTTGTTTGGTACAAGATGTCAGAGTATCACTGACCTAAACTATTAAGCGTTGTAGTATACGTTTGTGTCATTGCGCTAAAAACTATAATACTCTAATATTTTGGTTTTCTTATATTACTTTTACTACAAAATGACGGAATAAACTCGGCAGCAGTATAAAACTATGATAAATATATTCGACATAACTCATTTATAGATATATAAAATACATATACAATAAATGAACTGTACCTTTTCTATCAACATCATGTTTGACAAAATTAAAGTAACAACGCATATACCTTCCGTTGGGCATGTATTTCCAACTTTGTAAAGGCAGTATTTGCCTTGAGGCCAATTTTTATCGGAGTCATTGGTCAAGGAAATCTTTTGCTTCAAACAAAAGTTCAATTGCATGATATGTTCGTGGAATGGTCCCATGATGTGTGGTTCAACGGTGACGTCATCCAAATCGTTCCATAGCTGTTTACTTGACAATTCTGGCAACGTTAGATTGGCGTATCCACTATTCCAGCCAAAACTGTCTTCCTCGGGACAGCCGAAGGCGGACATAGGGAGCCCATATTCTCCTTTTGGCCATTTGGAATTGCCAACGGCTTAAAAAAAATTCAAAGGAAATACTTTAAATACAGATATTTTAGCTGTAGTCTTATTTAAACGCTTTTGAAGTGTTATCACTATCATTTTCTCGAGAAGTTTTCTGTCAGACTATATTTATTGTCTGCAATGCAAGCATCTTAGAAACGTAGATTTTATCATTGCGGTGATACTAATACCAAAACGTTATTTGGTCATAGCTTTGAAAGTAAGCAAAATGTAGACCTCGTTCTTGGCATCCTTGGCATCAAAGTGTATTCTTATGTATATGTGATGCAACTCTTAAGGTAATAACGGCGCTTAATGTAATAATTATTACAATAAGCGTTGCAACGGCTACGCTTAATGTAATTAAGTTATTTTTATTACATTAAGCGGGGCAACTGTTACGTTTAATGTAATAATAACTTTTTTATTACATTAAGCGCCGAAACTGAACTATTGACAAATTTAAGAAGGTCCTCAGTGTAATAAAGTCCGAAATGAAGGGGGACATATTGAGTCTTCTGTTTTGTATTGTTATGTAATTTTGGGTATTGTTAGAGCCCCACATTGAGATGCAGAAGCCCTATAGGAATCACCATGTCCGTCTGTTCGTTCGTCCGTCTGTCCATCCAGACAGGCGGATGTACGGACGTCAGCATTTTTTTTTCCGTTGATAGCTTCAGTTATGATTAGATTAATGATTAGAATGTCATCAAACCTGGCATGTGGCTAAAATGCCAGTTACCTCACTTTTTGTATGCATACCCATTATGATGATCCCCGTCAGCCGTGTCGTATCAAAGACGTTTAAAATGGCACTTGAAGCCTCCCCGCCTTGAAACATTAATACTGCAATGAGCAAGGAATTGAACGGCCTGGGGTCAGTATAACGGTCAGTATTGACGAGGGGAATTAATTGGTTGATTGTCCGATCAACACATTGCAGGTCAATTACGAATATGCCGGTTTAAGTTGCAGAGGAAGATCCAAGAATATCTGCATAGAACCACCGACCTCCAGCAAGTAATTGCCAAATTTCGACCACAAGGAAAGGGAATCCCTAAAAATTATTATCTTCTCTGAACGGGTTTCGAATTAAAAACCTAAGAGGTGATAGGCTGCAACGATCACGGGGCGCAACGACCTAGACCGTTCGGCCACCGACACCCAGGCCCCTCCAAACCTTGACGGTAACATACACCATTATATATTCTTGTAATCGACACGCAGTGTACTTCCGTAACAGTATAAAAATTGTTACATTAGCGGTAATTTAAATACAACTATAACGCTTAGTGTAATAATTTATATTGTATTACTCTAAGCGTAACAATTGCAACTATTGCGTCAATATGTGTGTAGTGTGTAATTATGCTATGCCACCAAATAATACAATGATCATGTCTAATACTCTTTAAGACGCCTAAGTACAGAATTGACAGCCGAATATCTATTCGAAATGTCTTTGAATGATTTATTTAAAAGTTAGCGAGAAAATGCAAAAATAACACAGAAAATGTCAACAGATATATAAGCTCAAATTCTACTTCCATGAAAGAAGGGTAAAATATGAAAATATTTACACGGACACTCTTAAAAATTAACAAAAAGTATAAAGTCAGGCGTTTTGAAAGAGTAAGCGTTTTGTACTTCTTCGACTATACCTAATAGGTTCACTTTTGGTTTTCTTATTTCGTCCTCCTTTTTTCCCTTTTTCCTTTTTTTATAATTTTCACAACACAAATCTGAGTATAGTTCACCACTATAGATCTGTATCGCCGTTCCTTCAGTGTAGAATAGAGTATGGTTTTGTACAATAAGGATGTTAATGTGATTGATAATTAGTATATTATTACTTCAAATATAATAAGTTGAGAGCTTTATTGTACCCAGGAAATGGAACTATGTTATCCGTAGGATTAATGGTGAAAAGGCAGATAAATAGACATAGGGACTCTTTTTCAACCTTGCATCGACAAAAGGTGACACATAATGTTATAAATGGAATACCTCTTTATTTTCTCATGAATTAAAATAGGGGTGTGAACGTTTGATGTCTTTCACCTGCGGAATGCTGTCCAACCTATCGTATGAAATATGACCGTTATTCACCAAGAAACAAGAATGCTTCTCTTTAATTGAATTTAATAGAATACCATTTCATAAGACGAATGCAAAGTGTTCATGAATTCATGTGCATTTCTAAAATATTGTGAAGTTTAAACACACCAACCTGTTTCACATAGAAGACCGATGAAAAATTCAGTACAAACACACTGGCACGTATTGTTCAATAGGTGTCCACCATTCTGACATTCCACTGATAAACATACTGAAATAGCAACGGATAATATTCATTATTGTTTTTCTAAGTTTATCGCTTTGTGAACAGTCAGGGTCATTCTTGCAAATGGTGGTTACATGATTGTGCATCATGCGGGAAGTATGCCTTATACTTTCCAAAGCAACATGGATAAACTTTCTTGACTAATGAGTCGCCAAGAACAGCACTGTCTTCCCGTGACACAGCATCAAAGAAACCGAGTAGCGATTGAACAACACACTTTGGTCTTGAAGTGCTGAAAGTCTACAGTTCTAACTACACATCAGTTTTCAGAATACTTAGTTCCATTGCCTTTCATCTTCACTAGATTAACAGAGAACCTACCTCAGTAGAGACGTAAACTGCGTATCGATGATTTACTGACGGTGACTACTGTGAAATCGTATTTCTTCGTTGAGACTTGATTTCGTGGATAAAAGGATAGCTCAAATAAATGTACAGAACGTGGATACGTAAGATCGTGAATTCAGAATACCCACGAAAATAGTAATGTATGATTATCATGAAATTGGAAATTAATTATGTAAAACATAACGAACACGACATAAAAATTCTACATATACATAAAAAAACAAAAGGCACATACCTGGTTCTTTGCCACTTGGAACAATGTATGCATTGCAACAATACCACGCCAAAAGCAGAAGTACAAAACGACTGCGGCACATCGTCGGTTTCCACTACGTCGTAATTGTACGACACGTTTATATATGTTCGCGTTGTTGGCGGACCAATAGAGATCGAGAATTATAAAAGGGCATTGAATCTTAAATGAACAGATTCTGCCAATCTCAAGAGACATTGCTTAGATCAGCCTGTGTGTGAATAATGCATCAATGTTAGTCAGTGATGCTGCAGTTTATCACATTGATCAGCATTAACGGCCATTAACTTACTCACAAATCAAGGCAAACTTTGAATCAGGTTTTATATAGATATGATTATTGAAAACAAATTAGGCTTGCAAAGGGATTCAAAAATATCGATACTGAGCCAAAATAAAAACATACCAATCCTTTTTTTATTTGTATATTAATCTTAATTTTAACTATGCGAGGTCAATATCTACAGCTATGTATATATATATATGTATATATATATGTGTGTGTGTTTGTTAGGAAAACCTGAAGACTGTCTTTGTAGTCAAGCTGCTCCTATTATTATATTTAACATCCTGTTGGAGAAGATAAAACATGTGTTAAGATTTGTGCGGCCATTTGTCCGCGTATGTTACACACCAATTACATTTTTCTATAACGAGTCTTATTTATTTAAAAGCTTGATGACCTGTTTTTGAACTAACGGTTACTATGGCAAAGGTATTTCTTTTGGACTGATTTAGTTATCCATCAATGCCAGCTCCGACGTCAATGCTTGATTCAAATATAACTATAAGACCTTTACGTGACTTCATAAATAGGTTAATGTCGTCCACACACTCATGTAAATATACCTTTACATAGCATCGCACACTTAACAGAATATCCACACAACACAAACAAGCTATGCTAAATGAATTTACAGTAGTGACATATTTTAGAGTGCGGTCACCTTAAGGTTACCTCCCTTTGACCTCATGCCGGAAGGTATGCACCCCATACTGATGAAGAGCATGGTGCTGAAAAGTTATGGCCAACAACCACTTGCGAACATGACTTGGAAGTTTGACGGATCGGAAGCTAATTTATACCATAACTTGGTCGCTCGGGAGTAAATCATTATACTCCATTAGAAGTTCATTTAGAGGCGATGTATGCTGTCAATATACTGTTTGTTCAAGGGTTGGACTGACCGATGTCGGGTTTATGACAGCAGGCTGTTAATGACCAATGTTATCCAATGCTGCCAGTTTACTGCCATAGACCCAGAGAAATTTCTCGAAATAAATAGACAGTTTGCACGCAGTCTTTGTGCCCCGTTACATACAGGAGGGGTCCTGTTATAAGGTTTGCTTAGTCCCTGGATGGTTTTGCGTACAAGTTTGAAAAACTCTTACAGGTTCAAATGTATCAATGCAAATGTGTACTTGACTATGAATAAATTAACATTAACCATAACACCATATAGATAATACATCGAAAGTGTCTCAAAATACAAGCTGTATATTGGCGAAGGTGAAATCAGCAGTGGCGACAGTTTTTCTATTCCAGCAGTTTGTTAGGGTTATCAATCTTTGTTTCCTTTACATTGATGTTATGCTGAATCGTGCCTGAGAAATATATGTGCCAGGTGTATTCTGACAATGGCAGCGCAAGTGCAGTATAAAAAAGCATTAAAAAAACAAAATGTATATCGTTTTTTGTGCATGTTATACAAAACAGAAATACTTATTACTGAATTGAAAATGAAAGCTCTATATGAACTAGTATTCGGACCTTCTTGTGTGGTTTACAGTCATATAGATATAAATATCAAAATAAATATAAATATAGCATGTCTTTTGTTTCATGAGAGGCAAGATCATTTAAGTCAAACTAAGAACAAGGGACGACACACAAGTTATTTCAACTTAATATCTACTCCTACTCCCAATATATGTTTAGGCGTAGGAAACAATTACTACCATAAAAACCTGAATATATCAACAATTATTACGACTATTACAATCACAATCTGTTTAAGGATATAATGAAAAATTACATTGGATGTTTCAGGTCTCGAGTAAGATGACGATTTCCAAACAGAATTGTGTCTAAACTGAATGCAACATTCAAAGTAGTAATAAACTTTTGTATTAGAATATTCATTCAATGTGTTTTAAAAATGACACTCTTGAAAGAAAAGTGAACGACTTTCCGACAACAATTACCGATCCGAATTAAAGGAACCACGATGATGTCTAACGTGTGCAGAAACTAGGGACCACCGACACCATAAAACAAGGACCTAAGGAATATAGTTTTAGTACATCTGACTTCAAACATGATTTGGATGAATCTAACGAAAGTAGTGAACGAACTTCTTTTGGAACACTTTTAAGTATCTGGTAAGGTAGGCACTAACTTGAGGTACGCTATAATTTGTGATGTATCTTATAATAATTATAACAGTTGAAGATTTCTTTGTTATATTTCGGTTAAATCGTTTCTCAAGGCCAGATTCAAAGTATAGAACATTGATATTGGTAGATTAATGAAGACCTGTAATACTATGGAAAGAATATCTATTCGTTTTCTCTGTATCTTTTCATATTCAAACCTAGTACATCCCATAAGTTACAAGCCTATTCGAGGACTTATAAGATGTACGTTGTATAAAAAAGATCATCAAGAATAGGTAAGTGTTCAAGTTTCCTTAAAACATTTAATTATACGTAACAGATGTAAACATGACCTTTTGCAGAAACAATGGTATTTTACCCATGAACCACCTTAACTGAAGGCTGTCTGTAGAATCTTAAGGGGCAACATATTAAATGTGTTTTAAAATACAAAAGGTCCCTTGGACCTGTGATATGACATATTTAGAATAGCAAATAATGGGTGTAAAACAGAGGTCACTATTTAATATATATAGAAAAGGAAAAACAATTATCAAAACAGCAGTGGACAGTATGAAATTCTACTAGATTTGAATAAGTCAGATTTGCTGCTAACTTTGACCTCAAACATCGAAATCAAAATAATGCAATATCAAAAAACTTTAAAACAAGGCACATTTTTTGGACACGAAAAATTTAAAGGAAGGGATGCAACTACTTCCGGTTATCGTTCATCAACGGGCTCTTAGACACCCTCTGAGGGATGAAAAGGAGAAAATTGAGCCTTGTGTATAGAATAGATGAAAATGAACACCAGATTATCTCTATTCACTTTTGCCTTCTAAAATCGACGATACTTATAACTACGTTCCAAGAACATAGATGAAGCCAATTGAAGTATGACTTTTTTCCGGTTCCTCTCATCAATAGTCAACATTACATTTGTGGAAATCGTTGGATAGATAGATAGATAGATATTCTTTATTTCCTCATTCATTTGAGATTACAAACAATTTAACATAGTGCAGTGCATAGAATTATAGTATGTGACAAAAGAATGACCTTAATATTTAAAGATGAAAGGAAAGTTTTTTTCCCAGTTCAATATTTCGTCAGTTCATGGTTTAAGTGTTATGATATCATTTCATTTTCTTTTCATGTACATTTTAGGAATCACCTTTGCGATGCATTTCATCATATCAGCCCAATGATTGTTCGATATATCAATGTCACTTGAACGTTTTCCAAGAATGAGGTCTGTTTGTTGTCTTTCACTCATTTCTGAGAATTGTATATAGTCGTTTACCTGTAGGAAGTTCAAAACTATTTCTAGAATCAAATCTCTTTCATCGAACAGGATGTGACATTCTATGATAAAATGTACAGCTATGTCAGCGACAGTTTTACCACACAGTTTACAAACATCAGGATCATTTGAGCTCTTCTTTCGTCTTTATAACTCGTTTCACAATTTTTTTCCATGAAGATTCAACCGGGATTTCGTCTTCAGGGTGATATAATCTAAAGAATGTTTCTATATTGTAGTTTTTCATAATTTTTTGAATGTCCGGTATGAAACCTAGATATTTGACTTTGTTATATATTCGTATTCTCTAAACCTTACAATGAATAATTGTTTCCACAGAAATAGATCGTCTCCTAAACAAAGCTTATTCCAAAGAAGCCGTTTTGCTTTATGGATCTCTCCGCTTATTTCTTTGAAAGACGTTGAAAGACTTCCATGTCATTCAACGTAGTGTTGGAAAAGTTACTCCAAAGTTCACATCCAAAAAGAAGAGACGGTACTATTACTTTACACCATATTGACACACTGGCAACAGGATTCATTCCATTATAATGAACACCAATTGATATAAGGCTATTCAATTTCTTTCGATTTTTGTCAATGGCTTCGCACATCGCTAAGTCGCTTTTCAAGTTCTCGTTGAATAATGTACCGGCGTAAATTTTGGAAGTGTGAGCTGGAATTATGTCTTGTCCGAGGGAGATATTGCATTTTCCATAGTCAGTCCTTCTGCTGCCTCCTTTACGAAATAATATAGCTGCACTTTTGCTAGAGTTGTATTTTAGTCTACATTTACACGACTAATCATATACAATATCTAAGAGCCTTGGAGTGCTGCATTGCTTCCGGATATGACACAGGTATCATCTGCTAACAGTATGCAAGGAACATGTGTTTCCGATTAGTATTCCATTTTGAGCCTCATCTAATTCTTGCGCGAGACCGTCTATCATTACCAGAAACATCCAGGCGGATTGAATTCGGCCTTGACCGACCCCCTGTGTGACGTCATAGGGTTCCGACATTTCCCGTCATAGAGTACCCTAGATTTTACTCCTTGGTGTACAAAAGTCTCCATGTTTTCGAATTTATTCCTAGCTGATAGAGTTTGTGAAATAGCCTTGCGATCCGGACGCTATTGAATGCTTTCTTGTTGTCTAAAAAGGCTACACATATGGGGGAGGAAGTCTCAATATAGCGATCTATGCATTTTTGTAGGATAAATCCCGCTGTAATACTGCCGCAACTCGGACGAAACCCTTGTTAGAATTTTGAAGGAAAATCAATCATCTCCGAGAACAAACGTAGTCGTCTATAAATCACTTTCTCAAACAGTTTTTGGATAACTGACATCAGAGTTATGTCTCTATAACTGTTAATATCAAGTCTGTTTTTATTATGTTGTGACACCATAGTGATCTGGACCCAATCTCAGATCTATTCAACATGGTAGCGTGTAGGCTGTCACAATATATATATAGAACTAAACCCAATAAATGATTAGATAATTAACGATTAAATTCTTCATCAGGATTTTATGTTCATTCCATCTGCATTCAGGACTAAGTGATGTTTCATCTCCGTAGTTTCCGAGTACTCCAACTGTTATACCTTTAATTCACACTGATCATGACATTACTTTGACCTGGACTTGACCTTTTGTTGTCATCCAATTCAGTATAATCAGATAACTAAGTAATCACTTATGAAAAATGTTCCAATAGCATCAGACTATCCTGTGGTTATTTGAGCAAATCATGTTTCTAGATATGTAGCTCAGTTGTACAGAAAACCAGAAGATTGCAATAAAGTTTAATATTTAATTAGGCAATGAATCTCATATTTGAAAATAAGTTGCATTAATAATTCTATCAGACTCACACAATCTTCCACACTAGTAGTTAATTTCTACAACTGCATATTCGAGTAAAATGGACAAAATTATTAATATTATATTAGCTTTCCTGGCATAAAATTAACACATTACTAGAAGGCCTAAGCTTACATTAAAATGGACAAAATCTTAACATACGCAAGTTAGGAAATTACACATCCATTCTAGGTCTGGTCTCTACACACTTCCAAAACATTTACATCCTTAGATAAAATAAGGGAAAAACTAACATTCATATATTCCAGACTTCTATCACTTCTCACAAAAATAATAGACTTCTTACTTCTTAATAACAAAAATGCTCTTTCAGTTCGATCGTGTATTTATAAAGTTAAATTCAACTATTCTATCATCATGCTTAACTCTCAATATTTCTTTCTCACTACTAAGCCTAGTACAAAATAGATTTACATACCCCTGTCAAGCACTTGATAAGGTAACCACAGACCGGGAACTTAGAAATTACCCAGTGATAAAAATACCGCCCGTCCATCCCTATAAGAACGAGTAGTCTGACTACGGCCCTAGTACGTTTACCATAACTATTATTATAAAATATTAAATAATTACAAAAGAACTTCTCAAAAGACCCTTAATAATAACTTCCTATTAGTAATACCACCCCCGACATTTCACAGGACAAAACACAGGCCGCATCGGGACTAGGTATTCACCAAGTTACCCGGCGGATAGAACAAACACAGTACACAGACAACACACACCTGTACTAGCTGACAGCTACTGTCAAACTGAATCCGGTCGGAAAAGAGCAACAGACGCTCGTCGGTTTTCACGTGCTGATGTTCTACCGTCGGTTTATCCGTCGGAATCCCGAGATCTCATAACTACGATAAATATTAATACATTAATAACTACATTACTTATAATTCTATAATTTATACTTGCTAGACTTACAAAAGTTTTCCCGTAAACACAGTGAAAATACTGCAGTCATATTAATTCTATAAATAACTTCTACAAGTGTGCACAGTTAATACGTCACTTCCGGTCAAAACAAAGCATGGCACAGCAGAAATACTCCACATGGTGCTGATAATATTTCACCACTTTCCTTGATCACGATGAATAACAACTATCCAGAACATTTACACATCTCTAAGAAAGATTAAGGTATTAAATACATTTGTCATTTATTGCAAAATTAATATTTAAAAGCATAATATAAAGTGATACTGGGTCACATCACCATTCTGTCACAATGTCCTTTATACGATGTAACAACTGTTCCTAATTTAAAATGTTCCGGACAGACTTCATTTTGTACGATACTATTAAAGATTTTAACTAGTAATTCGATTATAATATCAGCCACACATTGAAGATGTTCAACCGTTATTCTGTCGTGCCCAGCCGCCTTACCTTTGCTCATCAGTTTGAGTTCAAACAAAATGTCGTCTTTAGTTATTTGTGTATCTAGAATTGTTTCAACATGCGTAAACGACCGTACGCGGATATCGTCTACTTCCGTTTCGATTCGATTTTTAAATGCTTCATCAAAATGTTCCATTTGTGCAGGATAACTTAGAGTTTTGTAGTGTTGGTACCATACATTCCTTAGTGCATCGGGGTCACGTACAATTTTGCCATTTACGCGCAGTTCACGGCATGATTCTTTCGGAGACTTTTTTGCACGAATTGCCTTAAAGAATGTCCCAGTGTCTATTTCTGCGGCAGACATAAGATCATCATATTGCTTATTTATGTATAGATATCTGGCATTATCCAACTCTCTTCTGAAGAGGCGCTTTGATTTTTTATATCCCGCAAATGTTATGTAGCAAAATCCTCGCGGCCGTCCATCTGCGATCCATATAGCTCGCTTCTCTCTCTTTATGTGCTGATTTGACATTTCCATATTTCCAATAGGGTTTCAGGTAGAGCTTGAATTTTTTGTGGGGTAGATAATCCTTTGCAGCTCGTTAAGCAGAGAACAAAACCTTGTCAAAAGCATATCAATGTCGTTACAATTTACAGAAGTAATATTGTCAAGTTCTGTAATGCCCTTTTCAACTTCTGATCGTAAGGTGTTCAGATGGTCCCGAGTAACTCTTTTCCAATTTATTGTAAAACCCTCGGTGCGGCGCGTAGTCGAGTCTAGCCTATGGTATGTGACTGTAAATGATACGCTGATCGGTAGATGGTCGGATGTATTTGTAGCACACTCGTCTATAACTCCACTTCTTTGCAGCATATCCATTTTGTATTTCGGAAATACAATATGATCTATAAATATTCTATGTATTCCATTTTTTTGTTGAATACGTATATGCAGGACCAAAAGACCAGTCTTGGCTATTTACCGAGCAAAGTTGACGTTGTTGCATAAACAATTATAGAGCAGTTCCCTTTTCGTTTGCAGTTTCGTGGTCCTACATCCGAAGTCTTTGGCTAAATGAGCGTTAAAGTCTCCAGTTATTACTACCATACTGTCGGTGGTGTATTTGTCATAAAGACTTTTCAACGTTTCGAGAGTGTTTACGTAACCCGCTTTGCTGCAGATGGATGAAGGCATCAACACGCCGATTATGTATATAGACATATTATTGCATAGTAACCTAGCGCTTATTATTCGAGATGTGCAATCTACTGATATGATTGTAATACTTAGGGTTTTTTTTCAACATTATACCGATACCACCGTATCCTGATGCGAGAGATCTCTCCTCAATCTCCATTGGTATTCGACTGTCAGTCAAATTGTAGCTACTGAAATGTTCATCGATGATATTCAAAAAGTCTGTCTGCTCAGGAAGTAACCAAGTTTCTGTAATAATTACCATGTCATTCGAAGATAGAAGTTCATCCAAGTATGGGGCACCATACATAACACCTCGCGCATTCCAGGCAACTAGATTTAAGCTTGTAACCATCAGAAGTGTTATTGATATAGACATCAGAAGTGTTATTAATATAGACATAGTAGAAGTGTGGTCCATTTTACGAGAATCCATCATTTTTCCTGCTTGTTGCAGTTTCCCAAGCACGAGCTCTTATGCAAGACGGCCAGAAGTTTACTGAGAGGGATCGCTCATAGCAATCAGAGCGTGTATTTAAGTGTAACGTGTAGTTTGGTGGTACCCAGCGATTTTCTTCCCACTTTTTCAATACACGAACGAACGTAACAATAACTCCCCGGGACAAGGCATATTCTTTTATGCTTTGACTGACTGCCTTTTACACGAGATAGCACTCTACGTTTTATTCGCGGAGCTGTCCTAACTCCACAAAATTCATATATCAACGAAATTTTGGTAGGTATGGCCTGACCAACTTCATGATCAACGTCTGCTGAGAAAGCATTCGAAATAAGTTTTGTAGAATCGCTGCCTTTGTCGCGGTCTTCCCGAGACTGTCACATGCAGGTACTGAGATAGTGATCTGGTTCTTTCGCTGTTGGTAGAGAAGAATGATCTGTTCCTGGTGTGGTAGACATCACATTTGGATTCGAAACATCGTTTTGTCTTGGTAAGGTTAGATTAGTAGCGGGTGTGTCCGGTTCTGAGTCCGAGTGTACCTCACTATACCGATCAGTACTGTCAGCACTTTGATGTTTCGTTGATTGACTATCACCGAGAGCGCTTTTCCGTTCGGTTAATTCTTTTTCGTTATTTTCCCTGTAATCTTTCCTGTTTGTTTTCATTTCACATACGATAGTTTTGTCAATTTTGGTTTCCATTGCATTTAGTCTTTTGTGCAATTTTTCGAGAGTGTACATTACTTTGTCGTTTGACGCGTTTAAGGACGCATTGATGGAGACATCAGTGATTTTGTTTTGTTCTCGTACCATTTTTAGTTCATTCCTCAACATCACCTTCTCATTTTTCTCTCTCTCGTTCTCTATTTGTAGTATGCTAATGATCGATTCTTTCTCTACAATTTCGTGTTTACAGCGTTTTATTTCGTTTTCTAGTTTGCTTGTTTGTTTCAACAATTCATCCTTAATTCCATCCATCCCTTTATGAAATGCAGTCTGAATATTTAAAAAAAAAAGTGTTTGGTTGCAATTACACATACATTTACACGTTTGCCCGGGTGTGCCGCTGCACGGACTGTCCGTACCGTCTACCTGTGTGTTTACCTGTATTTGGTTATCGATACCCGTGGCTCCCAACGTTGGACCACTGCCGTGTGAGTTAGCGCGATCTTTCATCCGAAACAGATTGTTGATATCAGTGTTGTTAACTATTGTTCCATCAATGAAGTGAAAAAGCACATATATGTCATCTAACAGTTGATCACTTGCTTGTGAATTACCCACAGTCTTTCTACGTATTAGCTGACCTTTACGTGTGTCGGGCCTTCTCTCCAGTGCGAGTTCATATAGACTGGTCCGTATTCTACAGAGTTCAGTCAAATTACCATCGTAGAAAGGTGGCTAAAAATTTCAGTGTTGCTTTGCGAGAACACCAATTCGTCGTCACTCTCTGAGCTACCACCTCTGACGGGCTCCTCGATAGCCTCACCAGGTGTGCACGTAATACTGCTCATAGCGACTATACGTTTCGAATCAATATAGTAAAGTACACAATTCACGTTTTCAAATTTTCATGGAAATTGAGTTTCAGTATCATTACAACATTATCATCACTCACATCGTTTTTGTAGCATCTCAGTTGCCGAGAATTGCCTTGTTTTCATTGAAACTTTCAAAGCCGATGTAGATAACGTCCGTCCAGTCAGTAACCGGAAGTTATAGTTATATCATTCAATCTAAAAGATTTGTCTAGTTAATTCTTTTCATATATACAATGATCCTTTACATCCACCTACTTACCTCTCTTCAAATTGTATTTTGACACAGCAACTCCCCCCCCCCCCCCCCCCATCACTTCTCGTCTTAGTTTACTGAAAAATCTAATGAAATAACTGTCTATATTTGAATCCCATATAATTCACCAATCACGCAATCATGCTTGATTTAGTTTAGATATTCAATGGAAAAGGATTTATATAAGTTGTTTAACTTGTTTTCAATTCCAATTCCTCTGTATACTTTGCTATGTATTATTCGCATGTTGTTATGCAATAAAAATAAAGTTTATATTAAACTAAGACCAAGGGACGACACACAAGTTATTTCAACTTATCTACTCCTACTCCCAATATATGTTTAGGAGTTGGAAACAATTACTACCATAAAAACCTGAATATATCAACAATTATTACGACTATTACAATCACAATCTGTTTAAGGATATAATGAAAGATTACATTGGATGTTTCAGGTCTCGAGTAAGATGACGATTTCTAAACAGAATTGTGTCTAAACTGAATGTAATATTTAAGATAGTAGTAAACTTTCGGATCAGAATATTCATTTAATGTGTTTGATAAATGACACTCTTGAAAGAAAAGTGAACGACTTTCCGACAACGATTACCGATCCGAATTAAAGGAACCACGATGATGTCTAACGTGTGCAGAAACTAGGGACCACCGACACCATAAAACAAGGACCTAAGGAATATAGTTTTAGTACATCTGACTTCAAACATGATATGAATGAATCTAACGAAAGTAGTGAACGAACTTCTTTTGGAACACTTTTAAGTATCTGGTAAGGTAGGCACTAACTTGAGGTACGCTATAATTGTTATCTTATTGTTACGCAAAATTAATTTGTGATGTATCTTATAATAATTATAACCGCTGAAGATTTCTTTGTTATATTTCGGTTAAATCGTTTCTCAAGGCCAGATTCAAAGTATAGAACATTGATATTGGTAGATGAGTGAAGACCTGTAATACTATGGAAAGAATATCTATTCGTTTTCTCTGCATCTTTTCATATTCAAACCTAGTACATCCCATAAGTTACAAGCCTATTCGAGGACTTATAAGATGTACGTTGTATATAAAAAAGATCATCAAGCATAGGTAAGTGTTCAAGTTTCCTTAAAACATTCAATTATACGTAAGAGAAGTATACATGGCCTTTTGCAGGAACAATGGTATTTTACCCATGAACCACCTTAACTGAAGGCTGTCTGTAGAATCTTAAGGGGCAACATATGAAATGGGTTTTAAAATACAAAATGTCCCTTGAACCATATTTAGAATAGCAAATCATAGGTGTACGACAGAGGTCACTATTATATATATATTTAAAACAATTATCAAAACAACAGTGAACACTACGAAATTAGATTTGAATAAGTCGGAACTGCTTTTAACTATGACCTCAAACATTAAAATCAAAATAATGCAAAATCAAAAAACTTTAAAACAAGGCATTTTTTTTTTTTTTTTTTTGACACGAAAATGTTAAAGGAAGGGATGCAACTACTTCCGGTTATCCGGTCTTCCGGGCTGTAAGACACCCTCTGAGAGATGAAAAGGAGAACATTGAGCCTTGTGTATAGAATAGATGAAAATAAACACCAGATTATCTCTATTCACTTTTACCTTCTAAAATCGGCAATACTTATAACTACGTTCCAGGAACATTGATGTAGCCATTTGAAGTATGACTTGTTTCCGGTTCCTCTCATCAATAGTCAACATTACATTTGTGGAAATTGTTATGAGAATGCTTATCGTTATTTCTTTACTTCATGTATATATTTAACTGTACAAGGGCAATAACTATATTTAGATTCGGAAACATGTTTCCAACTTATATTAATCCTTCTCCGTTTCTGAAAAGAAGCTTTAAATCTTAGATATTTTGAACAAAGAAAAATATGCAAATTTCTTCATCTGTAAATTAATTGTTACCGAAGTATGATATTTCAGTTGAGATAGGATAATCTAACAGAGTAAAACAACGTATACGATGGTCGCAAAAGAGCCGACATTTTGATCTCATCTTCTTCATTACATGAGCATACAGGACTATTGACAAGGTTTCTACTG